TATATATATATATCATCATATAATCGTACGAAATACAATGAATTAAAAATCGTGCACAATGAATATATTCAAAATTCTGTAGGCTAGTTAGATTGATGAAAAGCTTTCTGAAATTAAAACTTACAGACATAGAAAAACATAGAAAAATCTAAGCTTTGCTTGTATTTGAAATTCGGATTTATATCTGTAAATTGGTCTTGATCATAATAATTTTACTAATAAATATAATACTGTTCTATTTACCAGTAGCTGTAGACTGCCAGATTGTGGCGACATCGGCTTTAGTGGTTTGTTTTTCTGGTGTTGTCGACTCGAGTTCTGTGGGTATAGTCTCTTGTTTTGTGATAAACGTAATTTATCGTAAACGTAAATTATCATATAATCGTACGAAATACAATGGATATTACAAATCGTGTACAATGAATATACTTAAAGTTTTGTAGGCTAGTTAAATTAATGAAACCCCTGAAGTTAAAACATACTAACAAAGCACATCTATGTAAGCTTTGCCTGTATTAGAATTTTGTAATGTATGTAAATAATAATAATCATAATAAATTTAATATTGGACTATTTACCAGTAGCCGCGGAGGGCGAACTTGTGGTGACATCAACTTCAGTTATTTGGTTTACTAGTGTAGTCAACTCGGGTGCTACGGTTATAATCCCTTGTTCTGTGATATGTGTGAAAGTGAATAACCATGCATCCGAAATGCAATAAAAATACATTCACAAATCAGGAACACTTAAACTTGTTTCTAAAATTATAGTTTACTAATCCTTTCTTAAATTGAAATTTTCGATTTAAAATACAAAACTTATATACATAAAAATACGCATATGATCTCCACCGTATGCATGGTGTTATGTCAAGTGTTTAGAAAGGTGTGAGCAAATCCTGCATCATATATATTAAAAATCAACAAAGTGTGAACATTTTCTCTCAAAGCTAGTTAGATATTTCATATTGCATAGCAATTAAACTATTTGATATGTTTATCTAACAATATATTAATAATCAATATATAAAGAGTAACCAATATAATTTGGACTATCGATACAAACTATGTATGAGTGCAGTCAGTCAGCATTTTCTATATCCATTTGTCCTTCGCTAGTTTATCATGCTAGAAGTAATAGTGATCGAAATGATTGTACTAATTATATAAACAAAAATAAGTGATGTATATATAAGTTTACCTACCACCTTCAGTTGATTGCAAAATTGTGGTTACATCTGCTTTAGTGGTTTGTTTCAAAGATGTTTTAGTCCAAGATTCTATTCATATGGAAAAATGGATAATTATATCATAAGATGATATATTTCAGTGTTATAATGAAACCTAAACTCTAGAATAATATATATACAATTTGTTTAGGTTAGTTACATTAATACACTTGGCCATTAAAAATCTACACTAAATACAAAATGGATGGATGGTAGAAAGAAGAAATACAAGGCGCGTATACAGTTCCTGAAACAATTAAATCAAATTATAATATGTCAAAATATTATATGTTCGCATATATGTCTGTAATAAACAAGTTCCTCTGGAATTCAAAACGTAAACTACTGAATCAATAGTTTTAGTCAGACTTCTAAATGTAAACAAATCTGGACACATAATTCGCTATAATCTGATTGACAGTGAGCAAATTAAACTGTTACTATTCAGTGGGATACAAGTTTGCGGTGAATGAGCTAGCGGCGGTTTTTCTAATTATCCCCAAATTTAGTTTACTACGGTGATCCAAATCCAAATCATGGTCACTCCGAAGAAGCACGTAATGTATGTTTGGCACAGTGCTATACTAGAGGGATCTTCCTGTTACAATATGTTACTGCTGTGAAGCATTAGAACATATTATTGTGCTTGTTGTAAAATACAGTGATTACGTATGACATATGTTTATGCGCAGTTTAATGTTATTATATCTACAACTTTTTATTTAATGCAACATCTAATTCTCCTGTAACACTAGGACCTAATAATAGTAATAATAATAGTTTCTAATTCAGATCTAGGTGTCGCTGTGCGTAAATCTGCGAGGTAGATTGTGGTATTGAGCATGCTCATTTCACATTTTGTTGGTGTGAGCTAGAATAAGACACTGACATACATTTCTGACGTGGACAAAATCGAAGGTCTGGAACAGAACAGCATGAGAAAAACATAAAATTTTTGTTGGACATCTGGATAATGGGTTTGTAAAACATATTTAAATTTGAATTTTGCTATAATTGTTTAGATTAACATTGTACTAATAATGGGATTAAAATTATATTAAATGATATATATTGCAAAGAAAAACACAAACAAAGAAAATGAAACAATGTTGTCATGATCTGGATAAAAAAATATATATCATACATATGCAAATATGCACGTATATTCAACATACCTGCTGGTGTTGATAGCGAGATAGTAGTGGAATCAGCTTTGGTGGTCTGCCTAACTTCTTCCGTCAATTCGGGCGTGGCAGTTGTGGTGCTTAGTTCTACAATATGAATAATGTTCATTATGTCAACATACACGTACTAATAATGATTTCAGCTCACATTGGATAATCAAGTACATTGTCAGATGTATTAAGCACATGGTTTGTTCTGGACACGCCACATGTTTTAACATAATATTATGCATATTGATATTGTCAGATCAAGATTTGTTATCCTGTTATCCCATGTTTACATTTCCATATCTACGAAAAATACATTTCTATGCGCGGAGAAGTTGAGGTTAGGAACATTTTAAATGACGTCTCAAATGTCTGCAGTTTTATAACACACACATATTTTAGTCAACATCATAAACTCCCAGAATTATTCGAAATAATATTATTGTTAACAATAACTCAAGAAATAATTCGTAAAACGATCAACATCATATGATATTGGAAAGTTTGTGATACTCAAAGATATTTCCCCCACATTCACTATCAATACCCGTCTAATAACATCTTTAGTTTCTTGTAGGAATAATACGGAGTATGTGTAAAAACAAATGAAGATCAATATAATTGAGAGAAGATTTTATGAAACCAGAAATATAAATAATTGATTGTCTATTTGAAACATTGGTTTCTAATTTCCTTGAAAGAAACATAAAATATAATAATATGTGTTACTTTGTTGCACCATCAACAAGAAAACCACTGATCACACACATATAAAGTTGAATAGTTAATTAATTAAAATTAGACTACTTACCACATGGACAGAAGAATCTGACTTCGTAGTCTGGGCACTGCTTTGATTGTTGGTGCTCATTAAAGCATAATAAACCTACATCCGGTTCACACGTTATTCTACCCTGACCACTAGTTTGATCATACGAAGACGCTGAACCTACAACTCTGCAGTCGATACTGACGGGGTCCATGCATACATCATAAATAGCTTGTATCATCCCAACTAATTCATAGTCACCTATCGCATTAGGGTCGTTAGTGTTGAACCAGGTTGTCCATTTACCATCTGGACATAAGTTAGAGGTTGTGTGAACTAATGTTGTTTCTTCAACTGTAATCAAATGAAATGTATCATATGTATACACTGATGCATGAAAAATATGTATGTAAACACATATGAATTACGTCTACAGCTCACAGAAACACGATTTTTTAAAACAAACATTCAGATAGGCGAACGAAATAATAGTAAAAGTATTTGCTATTAAAATCGCTGCTTGACCTTAAAACGTTATTGTTCTTCAAAATTATATTGATATTTCACTCTCTGATGTATGATATATATGCGCATTGAAGCCTATAGTTTTTGTTTACACACTCATCAGATTATACTAAAATTTACATCCGGATTAATCCAGCATCTTCCTCAAATTTCATCAAAACTTATTTACATTCTGGTGTTTTAACTACTTAAGATCACCACCATGTGCGAGAATAATATTCGGACAGACGAGAGTTTACACCGAGACGATTATTTGAATACATTTGATGTATTTAGCACCCAGTACAAGTCTTCCTTGAGTCTGATTGCTTGTTGATTTCTCCATTTCCATCATTAACGAAACATGCTCAAAGGGGTGAATTAAGAAAATAAATTGTATTGTCGAAGGTAGTGATGTTAAATGTGCAAATATCTACACATGATACTACATAATACGTTCTACCCCATTCCAACTAAACGTATATAATTGATATATGAGACAATATACGACTATTGTAAATTATGATTTGTACAATTATGAGAGGCAAAAGTTTTTATAATAAAACTAAAACCATAAATATTTCATTCCCCTACATAGTTGCCAATACAATAATCACACTGGTTATATGAAATCTATAATATTATGAGCAATATATGACATTGGTATTAGTTTACACCCGTTATAAATGAGAGAGAATGCGATAATTTCAGCACGGGTGCAATTATGTGAAAGCATGTTAAACTACAGTCTATACATGGTGCATGAACCATAACAATGTGTGACCTGTCGACTATGGGAGGTATTAAGACGATTTGACATGGTTTCATGCCATGTCAACAAATTGAAATCAATTCAATCTATGCAAGGCGATTATAGAGTAAATGTTATGTTACACTCAATACTACATATGTGTTTATTTATCAATTGTGCATACTTAAACTTCACTAAATTTCAGTTTTACAACAGTTCACATTTTATGTTAATATGGCTGAATGCGATCCCTGCCCCTATGTGTGTGAAAAGTGCAGATTCTACCTGGTGTGTATGTTAGATAAATATGGCAACTACACACATTCTAGCCGTCTATGCGTTGTGTAATCATCTCTTTTATAATTATAGACAAATGCTTAATTGGAGTAACACATTTGTTCACTGCTAGTCGTATCAGGTATAAAGCATATGTATCTGTCGAATATTCATCCAATACACAAATACCCCAAAGAACGCCCGTGTTAGGAAAGGTTGGAATGTTATTTTTTGCTGTGAAATGTACATTATGTTTATTGTAACATTTACATTTTAAGGAACAATTGATATTTTAATAAAAAATAAATGAAGCTAAACAAGTTAACATGAATCAACTCTTCAATCGTCTCCCCGTGGGACAACTTCCCAGTAATCACGTTCGTTTATTTGAAATGCGCCTTCTTTATCGAAAATATTAAGTCCATAAAAAGCATTCTGTGTGGTGATAATTGTTCAGGATACATTGGCTTAATTTTTCAATCATCAATTTTCGCTTATGCAATTGAAACAGCTTAATGCAATTGATCAGTGATAGCACCTAATGGTTTTAAAATGAAGCATTACTAGAATTGGCGTAATTAATAAACATAATTGTTCATCAACATGTCATTTATGCTAGTATGCTATACATTATGAAATCACATTTTTCTTCAAAAAGTATCCAATTTTACCATTATGAACGTTTGAATGTATACGATCAAAATAATATATTCAAAGATTTCAAATTACATGACATATAAACTGCATAATGAATTGATAGCGGGAGACAATTACACTTCTAACTTGGACCATGCTGTTGATTGGTAATGACCGGCGATGTTTGTGTGATTATAGGAATCGTAGTTCCAATCGTGGATTCAAAGGAGTCAGTCGCAGTGTAAAATTCTGCAAACGTAACATGACATACTTTATTTACAGCATGATACATGACAAAATTATGCAGAATAATACTCGTACTGCTGAATTTAAAAAAAAAGTATTTTGTTAACGATATGACAATAATATTATATAAAAATATTAAACTTTGTACAAATCACCAATCAAATCCCTATCCGACATTACTAACCTGCAGCTGATCCTGTTATTTCTTCATCCGGGGCAAGAGTTGGTATGGTTGTTGTTGTGTGTACTTGTTTAGCTGTTGATATCATTAAACATTTGTGTTGATAATTTTGGTGACGATATTATTATGATTCTTTACATAATGTGATGTTTTATTCCTACCTATCAATATTGATCTACACAATTTCATTAAAATTAGTTATTATACTTACATGAAAGATGAAATAAACGGCAAGCTATTGTTATATTGAGAATATGACAAATCAATTGAACGATATTAAGGAACACATCTAGCAGTGAGGTTAGCCACACTTTCTGTTATCACAAATACACTCAATCCACCAGAAATACACTTGAGTTACTGTTCTCTTGGCATGTCACAAAAAAATGCATGCTAGCGTATTGCATTTCTCGCACCACTGAGCTTCTATAGCAAGTACTTTTCAGTCCAATATGATCCGTAAGTGAGAAACAGCAATGAATTGATCTTTCCACGACATTCGGTGATTCATATTGAACAAAATACATGTTGAACAACAAAACCTGTTAATAATATTTGCAGATATGGAGTCATCAACAGCCAATTAATGTAGTCAGATGAACTGTTACCTGTTTCAGTCGTCTTTTTGTGAGGTGAAGTCAGTTCAGGTGTAGTTGATGTTACTTCTTTGGTTGTCGATACAACTGGAACGCTCGTTGAAATGGAATCTATGAATGAGAAAATGCACGAATGTGTTTATGAGTAGCAGAAGATGTTCAATGAGCAAATGTTTACATACGACACTACAGAATTTGTATTAGGACCCATTGCAACTAAACATAAACTATTAATATATGAGTCATAGTGTAACACTTGTACACTATTATTTGTCCATATATTTCACTGTTTAATGCTCTAACGTTTTTTTATAATGACAGTACAACAACATATGAAGTTAAACAGACTTCTATAAACATTGTTTGCAAAGATAGTCGCCCTAAATCGACCAAAATACATGCTGAACAACAAAGCTGGTCTATGATA